AAATAGGGGAAGGGGTTCCTTCAATAGTTACCTATATAAAATAGGAAAAAATGAAAATGATCAATGTAAATGGGTTTTAAAAGAACAAAAACAGTAGAACATATAATATTCGAATGTCTCAAATAACACAATCAAAGAACATCTTTTTATTTTGATGCTAAATAAAAAGGAGTTGAATTGCTATTTAAACTAGAGAATTTTATGATGAAAAACCGGCTTTTCATCGAACTACTGAGATTTATTATAGATATAAAACTCTAAAATTATGAAATTACACAATTTTTATTTTAATTGTAAACATCATAAATATAAATAGTGTAATCAACTAAAATAAACTTTTAGAGTTAAAATAGAAAAATAAAACGGAGATTGAAGATGAGTATCTTGTACGAATTATTTTTTTCGTACAAGATACTCCTCTTCAATCTTCGTTTTATTTTTCAATAAGTAGTGTAAATGGCAATATTTTATTGTGTAAAAGGTATTATTTTTTGCTATTTGCTTAATTTCAACATTGAATTCAAATTGTATAAATACATCTAGATGAGATTTGTTTAGTACTTTGATGGAGCATAAATCTCCTGATTGCTTTTGGATAAAATAAATAAATAACTGGTTCCATTTTAACCTTAAAGTAATTAATTATTCTCTTATATAAATGCGAAAAATCTTGATAGGTAGTTTCAAGTTGGAGTCCGTCAGATGTTGGGACTTGAAGAGATTTTTTAGGACCGAGAGGATGTCACAACGGTTGACTCATTATAGTCAAGGCTTCCGATAATGAAATCTCTGATCAAACATCAATTTTTAACGGTTATGTTATTCGATTTTATATAGATTTTTATAGCGTTTATCTATGGCGGGGTCTTAACTAATAAAAATAGGAGGCTTGTGTCTTTTTTACTCATCATCTCTGGCCGAGTCAGAGTCTGAATATGAAACCATGTCAAAGCCAAGACTTCCTTCCAAGATGACGATGTCCCTATAGACGATACGACGACAAAGCCGCTCTTCACGCTGCAAGAAAAAGGACGAAAAGGTACTAGGGGCAAAGTTTCAAGACTTCGATGAAATCCTTGCCAGAAGCTCGTCAGATCCATGTCAGTAACTACAATAATTGCTAGCTGTGGGTTACAGCTCCCATAGGGAGGGAGTTATGTAGCAAAGTATTTATTATTTTATTGATAGAATATCATTTTTGTGTTTATATTTAGCTACTCTGTAAACTTGGATCATTGCTTATCTTTTGTTAATCATTCAAAGCTTGTTCTTGCCTTAAATAAATTGCTGTGTCATCCTGGCGTTTGTCTCTCCTAATTTTCCACGTGGCAATATAGTGATATTTACCAAGCGCTTATTTATCTATTTATATGGAAATATTTTCCAAAAGGTTGTTGGTCTATCTGTATCCCAATATTTTCCAAGAACTTGTTGGTCTATTTGTATAGTATAATATGCTAAGATCTTGTTTGTATAATTGTAGAGAAATATCACCTTTCGAGAACATTTACCTCGGAATCTAGCTTTTTAAATGTAAAAATATATACTCCTTGCAAGTTTATCTCCCACAAGTGACCACACAAATACACACAATGAGTAATCAGTTCCTAAGCGACCATTTTGAGACTTCAAAAACCACACTAATTGAACTAACCCAACCTTCAGTAGGCGACAACCTTCAGGAGAGACCAAGGTGGTCTATCATGTGTGGTCTATCATGGACTATTCTAATCTATTACACACATTGAACTAAACTAAAATTCATTTAGGAAAATCGATATTTCAAGTTGGTAAAGAGATCACCATACACAATTTTCAACTTACATTAGGTCACAACCCCAATGTGTCAAAGAAATAATGAGAGATCACAAAACTGATTTATTTCAAATTTCATATCTCAAATTATATATATAGGACTCAATACAAGTAGATACAGAGAATAACCTCTTTCTAAAGACAACACCTAGTTGCAGAGCCAAAGTGTTTTTTAGAGGGTGGTGTCCTCTTACTGGAGAGCAGCTAATTGCTAAAAATTGTAATTTTGTTGAAGAAAATTGCCTTTTGCAGAGAGATACCCGCTAGCTGTAGTTTCTCCTATGGAATAGCAAGAAACAAGATTTGAGTGAGGTGTGTGATGGACAGTTCTCAAGAGTGTCAGCTAATTAATAATTCATCATTTAACTGGAGGACGCAGACAATCCTCTGCCGATTGACCTTGCTACCCAAGGCCGCGGAGAGGTTGTCTTGTTGTGTAGCGTCACTATATAAGTTGTGGTCATCACATCGCTCATCACTACTCACTCTTCAGTAGACATGAACTCCCTGGTGAGTCCAACCTCTCTGCTTCCAACTTGTGTAGACTGTTCCACCTGTGGAAACTCTCTATGCTAGGTGGTTTGTCTAGATTTGTCTTATTTTCAAATTCATTTAAACTTTCTTTTACTAAAGACCTTCTTTTTACCAACGTAACATCTTAATTTGTGCGATTTTCCATTTAGTATAATGAAAATTCATTGGATAGATATTTACAATTCTTCCAAATGTTAATATTTCCTCACATTTTTATAATTACAATTACAACCATTTCATAAATTTAAAATTTTGTCAAACATTAATGTCATTCAGAGGTATTTGACGCTAAAATACCGATGCAAGTATATTTATCGGAAGCTCTTCAATATTTGTCAATTCTTTTTCGATTTTATTCTTTTTGCACATATTAGTTCTCTTCTTCAATAGAAATTCATTATTTTGGTAATAAGTGAGGTTTTCTGCTCTATTCTTTTATGTTTAGACTTGAAATATTTAAATTCATATTTATTTCAAATCATCTTATGGGCTATCCTTTTTTAAACCCTTCTTTTCCAAATACTATCAGCGATTTGATAGTTTGTCAAACATTATTTACAGTTAAACCTACCTAAAGCGCCCCCTCTTGGGACTAACCAAAATAGGGTGCTATAGAGAGGGGGTGCTATAAACAGGTCACTTTTAATGTAAATCCAATCGTACTACGTATTAAAAATCGGGCGCTATAGAGAGGGAGGCGCTAGGGGGCGTTATATACAGGTTTAACTGTATATAAAATTGATAAACGACTTACACTCTGAATTAAAATAACCTTTTAAATTTATCTATTATCAATAAAATATCTATCTTTGTATTTCTGCGAATTTCCATGGCGTGGCTTTTTCAATAGAGCAAATGTTTCATGCAGGAATCATATTCAGTTGAACCTTGTTTGAGACCCGTTTGCGAAATTCAAGTTTTAAACGAGAAAATCCTAACAGACTTGCCAAAATCACTCTATAATAAAATGTTGATAAAATACTTTAACGCCAACACTGTAGTCAACCATGAACCTGCAGCGCGCACTTTTACCATTTACAACACAAGTTATAAGTTCAATATGTTTATAATTATATTCAATAAGTTCAAAAACAAATAAAACACTATTTTCTCTCTTTTTGATGCAGGGCTGTTGATAAAACTATATTTTGGTTTTTATCGAATCTCTCAATAAAAAAGATCATAACTATAGGACCTAAATGTGATCTAAAGGTAGCTATATGAGGTATTATCTAAGATCCTATGGTCGCAGCTTGTCCTCCTGGTTGTTGCCCTCATGGCCGCCATGGCCTCTGCCGCTGTGATTGTCGGCGGCGCCGGCTACTATGGCTACCCCGGCTATGCGGCTTCCTACTCTGCCTATCCCTATGCCTATGGTGGCCACTATGGTCTGGGCTCCTACTACTGGAAGTAAACTCTGTAAGTATTCTCACAGTACTCTACCATTTGATGGAGATTCATTTATAAAGAAGAATCAATGTCCAACTTTATATCAAGATCCTTTCTGCCATGTTTTCACAATGTCAGATCTAACAGACTTACATTTCTGATAAGATACTGTTAGTGACTGGCATTTGTTCAAAATTGTGTTTACTTGTCCATTTGTATATACATGAATAATAGCCCCATTTATCGAATGTATAATTGTGTTTATAAAATTGTTGACATATGAATTTATAATTAATAATTTTATGTGTTTCAGGATCACCTAGACTGCCCCAAAGATCCCCTAAAAGCTTCAATCGGAGTTTTTAAAAAGGTTTTAATAAAATTTTAAGCAATAAAATTTCTGATTGCCCTTAACTTTACAACAGATTTTCCATTTAACACTAAAATATACAATTCACACTGGTATCTTACACATAATCTTGCTATAAAAATCCTTAAAATGTAAGGAGGAAAGTCGACCACTAAACGAATATTAATACACACATACTTTCAGAGCCTATAGAGCATAGAGATTTTAGATGCACACAATCATTCTCAAAACGTCCTCTCTGATTTTGATTTAGAAGGAACCACGTTCAGGTCACTTATTTATGGGAGAAAAATTTATTTCATTGCCTTCACAAAGACTGATTTCAATTGAGAAAAATTAAGAAATATTAGACCATTTCTTAATATGCCTACGACTGTAATCGAGGTATTGATATCAGGTTTTCCAAAGGCCCATTCATAGACTTTTATGCCCTTGGGAATACATTCGTGTCCATCCATTATTGAACTGAGTTAGAATTGAAAGAAGGAGCAAAAATACTTCTTTGTTGAACTGAGTAAGATTTGTGATCAGGAGCTAAACTTTCCATTGTTGAGCTCAGTTTGTTTATGATAAGAAGCAAAATATTACAACGTTGTGCTGAGTTCAATTTGTGAATAAGAGCTTAATATTCCATTGTTTCTTTCTGAGTTAGATTTGTAAGCAGGATCTATATCTTCCATTGTTGAGCTGTCAAATTTGTGAGAAGGAATTGAATATTCAATGGTTGGGCTCAGTCAGATTATAAAACGACATTTGAAAACCATCCCGCATGTGCTTCTTTTCAACGATAAATCAAAATTTATTTCAAGGAAAAATAACGATTATTTCTAACCTTTTGGATGAGGTATGAAAGGGTGAATTGTGAAGAGTAATGATAAACAGAAAAATAAAAGTGTCCAGGGATGGGAATCGAACCCACAGTGTTCCGCTTACCGGGCAGATGCCATGTCCACTAGGCTACTAATAAGTAATTTATAATACAATATAATATAATGCGGTTTGTGATTATAAAACGACATTTAAAGACCATCCTGCATGTGTTTCTTTTCAACGATAAATCAAAATTTATTTCAAGGAGAAATAACGATTATTTCTAACCTTTTGTATGAGGTATGAAAGGTTGAATTGTGAAGAGTAATGATAAACAAAAAAATAAAAATCAGTTAGATTTGTGAGCAGGATTTAAATCTTCCTGTTGTGCTGAGTTATATTGTGAGCAAGAGCTAAATCTTGTGCTGAGTTAGATTTGTAAGCAGGAACTAAATCTTCCATTGTTGATAATAGTTAGATTTATGATCAAGAACTAAATATATTTTCGATGAACTGAATTAAAATTTTGAGAAGAAACTAAATCTTCCAATGAGGTGCCGAGTTAGATTTTTGAGAAGAAACTAAATCTTCCAATGAGGTGCCGAATTAGATTTTTGAGAAGAAACTAAATCTTCCAATGAGGTGCCGAGTTAGAATTTTGAGAAGAAACTAAATCTTCCAATGAGGTGCCGAGTTAGATTTTTGAGATGAAACTAAATCTTCCAATGAGGTGCCGAGTTAGATTTTTGAGAAGAAACTACATCTTCCAATAAGGTGCCGAGTTAGATTTTTGAGAAGAAACTAGATCTTCCAATGAGGTGCCGAGTTATATTTTTGAGAAGCAACTAAATCTTCCAATGAGGTGCCGAGTTAGATTTTTGAGAAGAAACTAAATCTTCCAATGAAGTGCCGAGTTATATTTTTGAGCAGGAACTACATCTTTGATGTTTGAGCTGAGTTAGATATCTCTAAATAGCGCCTCCCTCTCTATAGCGCCTGATTTTGAATACGTAGTACGATGTGATTTACATTAAAAGTGACCTGTCTATAGCACCCCCTCTCTATAGCTTCCTATTTTGGTGAGTCCCAAGAGGGGACGATATAGACAGGTTTAACTGTATATATTTTTGAAAATAGATCAATCCATAAATAGATCTCTAATTAAAAAGGCATATATTGGATCAAAATATCATTTGGTTAATATTGGTAAAATAATGTCAATATATGCCTTTTTAATTAAAAATATAGGTGTATGCTAAAATGTATTTTACATATTATAAAAATCGTATATATAATATAATACTATTACTGTGAAATTTGTATACTTAGTTATTCTGTGAACTTATGCCATGATTAGTTTTTAACTATATGCAAAATTGGTTCAAAATATTATTTGTGTATGATAATGAATATTGGCCTATAAAAGAGTTTTTTTTTCTTCAATTATCAGTTTAGAGGTGGTTAGCCGAAATCGAAAATGAAAGGCAAATATTGTGATAGTTGTCGTCGTAACCATAACATCCTATGTTTACGGTTTTGGTTACCATGTGCCCATTGGATATCATACTTAGCAAGTATGATTGGCTTGAGTTGTGCGATCCATAGGATATTTAATAAGATCCGCCAAGCCGTGTGAAGAAAATTCAAATGGAAGTCTTCTTTATGATTTTCAATTTTAGGTTTATCTGTATCCTTGGAATTTAGAATTACTATAAATGCAAGATGCAAGATAATTGACAATGTTTTTTCAGCTTTAGAATTATTTTGAAATATTTGAAATAAAATTCAACAGAATGTCTCTTTATGGCTCTCAATTTAAGGTTCATTTGTATCCTTGGAATTTAGAAAGACTATAAATGCAAGATTTCAAGAACTTATATTGACAATGGTTTATCAATTTTAGAATTATTTTGGAATATCTGAAGATTCGCCGTGTGAAGAAACTTCCAACGGAATGCTTCTTTATGAGTCTCAATTTTAGGTTCGTCTGTATCTTTGGAATTTAGAATGACAATAAATTCAAGATTTTAAGAATTTATATTGACAATATTCTAACAGCTTTGGAATTATTTTGAAATTACTTTGTGAACTGAATATTGATAATATTTTGATATAGGAATTGTATGTCATAGCAATATCTCCATAAGAATACAAAATCCTTCTAATATTTGAGTCATTTATCAATCAAACTTAATCCAATACCTTTTTACGGTTTCAAGAAAAAGGTCTTCCCAAAGTGAATTTTAAGCACTGAACTTTTACTTCGAACAATCTTTGTTCCAATGGTTTTTTCGTTGATTATTCTTTATCTTTAACATAAATCTTTGTGAATTTCTTGAAAATTTGAATATATTATCAGCTTTATTAATGGTAAGGCCATATGTGGTTCTTTTGTATATGTAAATAATACTAGAATTATCTAGGTGATATTTTCATGATGCAACATACACAAAAACTAAATTTATGTTTATTTTATTTATTTTTTTAATCTAACGTATTAATCGTGAGAAATCAGTTTTTAACATTTTCTCAGATTTTGGGGATTGAATCTTTACTTTTTGTTCTAATCTTAGTTTATTGGATATGAACTCTAAAGTAATTCTTCTTTGCTATTATTTTAATGTCTGTACAAATATATCTTTGGTATTTCTAAATAAAATATACAAATTATTTTCTGGCTTAGTTATTTTTTTAAACAATCATAAATTTACATTGTTTAAAGGTAGGATTGCTTCTCTAGATTTTTGTCGTATTCAATGAAGAGCCTCAGATGTCTCTGTACATCTCTATCACAGCAGTCGCAATGTTCTCTATCTTGGGTGTGTAAAGCTGCTGTTTTGGATCCATGTCAATTTTCTGTTGTTGTGTTCAATAAATAGCCTCATATGTCTCCATACATTTCTATCACAGCAGTCGCAATGTTCTCTATCTTGGGTGGGTAAAGCTGCTTTTCTTGGTCCATGTCAATTTTATGTTGTTGTTTTCGTGTCCAATGAAGAGCCTCAGATGTCTCCATGGATCTCTATCACAGCAGTCACAATGTCCACTATCTTGGTTGTGTAAAGCTGCTGCTCTGGGTCCATGTCAATTTTATGTTGTTGTTTTCGTGTCCAATGAAGAGCCTCAGATGTCTCCATGGATCTCTATCACAGAAGTCACAATGTCCACTATCTTGGTTGTGTAAAGCTGCTGCTCTGGGTCCATGTCAATTTTATGTTTTGTTGTCGTGTCCAATGAAGAGCCTCAGATGTCTCCATACATCTCTATCACAGCAGTCACAATGTTCTCTATCTTGGGTGGGTAAAGCTGCTTTTCTGGGTCCATGTCAATTTTATGTTGTTCTTTTCGTGTCCAATGAAGAGCCTCAGATGTCTCCATGGATCTCTATCACAGCAGTCACAATGTCCACTATATTGGTTGTGTAAAGCTGCTGCTCTGGGTCCATGTCAATTTTATGTTGTTGTTTTAGTGTCCAATGAAGAGCCTCAGATGTCTCCATGGATCTCTATCACAGAAGTCACAATGTCCACTATCTTGGTTGTGTAAAGCTGCTGCTCTGGGTCCATGTCAATTTTATGTTTTGTTGTCGTGTCCAATGAAGAGCCTCAGATGTCTCCATACATCTCTATCACAGCAGTCACAATGTTCTCTATCTTGGGTGGGTAAAGCTGCTTTTCTGGGTCCATGTCAATTTTATGTTGTTCTTTTCGTGTCCAATGAAGAGCCTCAGATGTCTCCATGGATCTCTATCACAGCAGTCACAATGTCCACTATCTTTGTTGTGTAAAGCTGCTGCTCTGGGTCCATGTCAATTTTATGTTTTGTTGTCGTGTCCAATGAAGAGCCTCAGATGTCTCCATACATCTCTATCACAGCAGTCACAATGTTCTCTATATTGGGTGTGTAAAGCTGCTGCTCTGGGTCCATGTCAATTTTCTGTTGTTGTTTTCGTGTCCAACGAATAGTCTTAGATGTCTCCGTACATCTCTATCACAGCAGTCGGAATCTCCTCTATCTTGGGTGTGTGAAGCTGCTGTTCAGGGTCCATGTCGGGTTTCTGTTGTCATGTCCAATGAAGAGCCTCAAATGTCTCCATGCATCTCTATCACAGCAGTCACAATGTTCTCTATCTTGGGTGGGTAAAGCTGCTGCTCTGGGTCTCTCTAAAGTTATAGATTCCAGGATTGCTTAAGAATTTCAATTGTATAAGGTTGTCCCAAAAGTTCGTAAGCACTTGCCAAAAATTTAAATACCAATATTATTCGCCGTTATATATAATGTTTTTGTATTATGTATTAAGTAATTTTATTATGTATTCACCGTAATAACCTAATTCTCCAATAGGAAAAACGTTTTAAGAGAAAAACAGGATCTTTTGGGACAACCTTATATATTTTTCACCCACAAGAGGGCTTTTCTTGATTAATAAATTGTATTTGAAGAAAATTAAGGAACTAGCCGTGTGACCCGGTCAACGCCCCGGACTCACCCTAAGGGCCTGTTAAGTATAGATAGTGGCTTGAAATGGATATATTTTAATTTCATAGAAGCAGCATTTCAAGAAAGGTCAAATAAAATACTTTCTGAGCAAAGTATATATATTCGTGCACAGATACACACACGGATAAATCTGGACCATCCGGAGTAGATCCACAAGGAACATATCTACAGATAAAAGATTTCTGATTTATAGGCAGGAAAATATTTAACAATTGATTTAGAGAAATTCAAAAATCTATCATTAAAATATATATAATCCAATAATACAAACGCACTTATTTGTAAAAACAAAGCAATTTGGTGATTATAAATATATAAAGTGAAATTTGAAGCAAAAAAAAATTACAATTGGAAAATTGAATAAATAATAAAACTACTAATATTTGGTAGAATGTGTTACATACAAAGTAAAAAATAACGATATTTTAGTATATAAATCTCTATATATAGCTCAGTATATTTGGAGGAGATTGCTTAAAACTTTACAACTGAAAACTCTGTTAGTGTATTACCTTCTGGAGATTTAGCAACCCACTGAAGACGCTGAGAACTATTTCAGAAAAGAAAAATATAGCAATAGAATTCTATATTTTCTACAGATCAATTGTAAATAGATTCATAGGCAAAGGAGGTAGTGACGAAAGTTTTAGAACA